TTACAGAACGAAGAAATTCTTACTTAACATTTAGACAAGAATTTTCGAAACTCGTGAAAGTTTATCTTCTAAGTGATTTTGTATATTATTTGCTTAAGGAGACAATAAAAAAAATTTCATAGGGTATTTTGATTATATCCAGGGGCTTTAAAGTGATATTAGCGATTCCCAGTATAAAATTAGAAATTAAGCTGCTCCAGGAGCTCTGTGCGGTACTCTTTTGCAAAGCCAACCAGGTCTGAACAATCATGGAATTGTTTTGCGATCAAACACTCTCTCAAAATTCTCATTGTTCCCAAAAGGTTTCAAACTCTGAAAGAATGCGACAGTCAGCCAAAAAAATAAAAGAGGTCCCCTCTCGTGAATGAGTTACACAATAAGCAGTGCTCAACAAAATCTTCTCTCAGAGGGGAGTAATTAAGGTAGAGAAGTTTGCACTTGATGAGTTTCCTAAGTTCGAAGAACAAACATCAATAATAGAGGGCAACTTTAGATCATTATTGGTAAAGTCAAAAAATGGTTTTTAATTCTTTATAGAGCAGAAATTTTTTGGATCTAAGCCAGTTCGGTTCAACATGCCTGGAATGGATGTTCAAAAGACGAGAATTTAGAAAACCATTCTTCATGGTTGTTAAGGGAGAATAGAAGTTAATGTTAAAATCGTTGGGTAATGACTTAAGCTTTTTGTACCAGGCTATTGTTTATAAAATAGATATGCAACAAAATCGTAAAACTAACTCAATTCACTAGTTTCGTGGTCCGCTTGACCAATTAATATATTACAATTAATTAAGGTTTTCAGTTGAGATAAAAAAGGCAATGGCACGAGCGGGATTCGAACCCACGATGCTCGGCTTGATACGCCGCTCCTCTACCACTTGAGCTATCGTGACCTCGATCCACTCGGACATCAACTTCCCATCTCAACCACACCTTTTGAATTTTCCCTCCATTTTGCCATTTTTCAATTCCCCTCTAAATCTAGTTATGATATTATATTATTTACTTGTTTATACCTACGTAAATTGCGGTGTATGATTTCAAGAGTAGCTAATTTATCATATCTACGCTAAAAATGTTTTTATACATGTAATTTAAATGTAGCTGAATAGTATAAACATATGGCAAGCTAAGGATTGTTAACAAATAAATTATATATGCAGAGATGGTAAATTAAATGGGTTTTTTAAATTTTTTTTTTTAAATACTGCTTAATACCTCATATTTCAGATCCCATTTATATAATGTTTCCCTAGCTAAAATTTTCTTTGATAAAGTAAAACTGTAAGTAATATAACATCAAGGGAAATATCATGTAACCCCAGACTATAAGAATAATTATTTTCATGTTAAATTTATCAATTAACGACTCTTTCATCGTCCCTAAGTTATTTTGGTCCTTCATTTCGCACTGATAAATTGGTCAGACCTGTTTGTGCATTTCTTGCTTTACATCAAACAATTAAAATTCGACTTAGTAAACAGATTGTTAAAAGAATTTATAATAAATTATTAATCGTTTTACGCTTTCTTTATATCTGGGATTGGGAAAGGATTTTAGAAAAGGTTTAAATCGTAAATCAAATCAGGCCATTTGAAAACTTGAATGGGTACGTTTTTTAATAGGTACTCACTTGACTGGGCTTTGACATACTTCTACTGAGAAACGGTCTTTTAACATCTCCCAAAAATATTTGTAAAATATTCTCATCTTTAAATTAATTAAGGTTTTTAGTTGAGATAAAAAGTCAGGGTCACGAGCGGGATTCGAATTGAGTGGATCGAGGCCACGATAGCTCAAGTGGTAGAGCAGCGGCGTATCTAGACGAAGATCGTGGGTTCGAATCCCGCTCGTGACACTGACTTTTTTATCCCAACTAAAAACCTTAATTAATTGAAAGATATTAATTGGTCAAGCGGACCACGAAAACTAGTGAATTTAGTATTCTCATCTTTTTATTATTACTCATTAATGCAATTGTGGCTCAATTTTTTAAGGAAAATTACCAGAAACGTCAAGAAAAATGTAATGATACAATGAAAATATTAATTTTATATAATTTTTTTTGAAAACGCAATAAAAATTGGTAGCACTGAGCGTTTCGTAAATTGTCAATCACACAATGATAACAGCCAACATGTAATTATTATTATAACTTTATTAATATTTTATTCAACATTCTTTCGTTGGAATAACACAATTGGCTTTATTGGACATCGAATAATATTTTGACCGTAGTTATCCCATCTGATTAAAAGATAGGTAAATAACTACTACACTTAATTTTAATGTTGGGTGAAGCATCAATTTCCTAAACTTTTTTTTCTATTTATAAAAACCTGTCATGAATCTAATCCACTCCCATAACTTTAAGTACCGTTATTTGAGTTCAATTAGTTCATACATACATCAATTTTTTTTATTGTTGTAGGTACTGAAAGGAACAAAATAAAACTGTAGTAATAACGACCGTTATTTAATGATTATTTCGAGATCGTGAGATGTCTGGTGTGACGTAGGTTTCGAAAAACATTTTTTTTTATCTTGTCAACGTTTCGATCTTTATTGAGATCATCTTCAGGGCCTAGGATTTATAAACATTGTTTAAATTATACAAATACATGTAGGATGTATAAAAAATGAATTTATACAATGATAAAATTTTTAGACTCAATCAAAGAATTTGTACTCACTCAAAGTGTTTGTTTTCTGTGTAGATGTGTCATTATTGTGTATCGTGTTGAGAGTGCCAGTGAGAAATTTTTTTTTCGATTGTTGAAGTCAAAATTTGTTGGTGTTCAATGACATTAACATATTGGCTGTAAAAAAATGACATCTTTATGCCACCTTCTATGAAAGATATTCTTGACCGTTGGGTGATGAGAATTGTATACAGGGCATTAACAAGGATTTTAAATCATGGGGTACGCTTCTGCGAGACATAGGTTTCAAAAGTATTAAAAATGCAAAAGAAAGTTCTCGGAACTCCGTAATAATATGATGGGTACACAATTTAAGATGTAAAAAACGGTGTAAACTGACGTTGTAAACGATTCGACATTGCGACTACACTAAATTCATAGTTATTTATTTATTTATAAATACGTAATAGTGTAAAATATTAAAATTAAAATTTAAAATAATATTTGTTTTATGTTTATTAGGTAAAACTTCTGAACTCCAATAATCGAATTTATACTTAATTTAATTTATTATATAATATATTTTTTCTTAGTTTATATTCAGGGTGGTCAGCGCGTCGTGTCAATTTTTTTTTAAATTTCCTACCGGTCATCTTATTACGGACTTCCACAAAATCAGGATGGACACCATCGAACTCCACGTCACATTGAGCAAGTTCTGGGGTTTTTATTCGTAAATTTATTTTTTTTCTAAAAGTTGTTTTTTTAATGTTGAGTTTTTCACATTGTTTTGGTGTTGAAGTATAGGCTGGAACTGAGGTACGATTTTTTTAGAATGATTAAACCTCATGACCCGTTCAAAAGTTACGATTTTTTCAATGTTTTTTGTTTCTTTACATAAAACTTGAATTATCTCCTCTAACTTAGCTTTTCACAACTTTTGACCCTATTTTTAGATTTAGCACCGATTTCCTTTTAGATAAGACCACTTTTGTTCTAGAAATTGCCATTAATCATAAATCACTTAAAAAAAATATCCCAATTTTTTTCACGATAAAAAAAATCGTACCTCATTTCAGACCTATACTTTAACCCCAAAACAACGTGAAAAACCCAACGTTAATGAAAACATTAATCCAAGAGGGCAGTCTCAACACGACATCCAATAATGGCACATCTACAAAGAAAATAAACCCTTTGAGCCCTGAAGATGATCACAATAAAGATCGAAACGTTGGCACGATAAAGAAAATGTTTTTCTGAAACCCTACATCAAACCAGACCGCATTTCACGATTTCTAAATAAATAAAGATCGAAACGTTGGCACGATAAAGAAAATGTTTTTCTGAAACCCTACATCAAACCAGACCGCATTTCACGATTTCTAAATAAATAAAGATCGAAACGTTGGCAAGATTAAAAAAAATGTTTTTCTAAACATACGTCACACCAGACCGCATCTCACGATCTCCAAATAATCATTATCTAACGGTCACTGATTTATTGTAATATTTTTATTATCGGTTTAACATTCATATAATTTTTTACTCAAAGCTTGAGCAATTATTATACACAGTGTACAATTTATTTTTAAATTATACATTTTTCAATAAGTATTATTCCATTTTGTTAACTTAAATTATTGTTTATTTAAATAAATATTTATAATATTTTAAATATTGATAAATATTTAAAATTTTGTCAGAGTATTTCTTGGTATGTTGCAGATGTTGATTCCCTAGTATAATTATTTAATTCAAGTGACAAATTTGAGGGAAACAGTTGATATATTGTAATTGTATTAAATAATAAACGATGCTAGAAACGGCGAAAGGCTACCCTTAATAAGGAAGTCAGAGGGAGGAGGGCTTTCTAATAAATAACTCGGTCGAGGCGAAGGATAACAATATAACACATGTATTGGGTTGTCCGGAAAATAATGCAGGATTTTGGTATTAAACAAAAAAAAAGAAACTAGTTACTTTAAAGCAATGTTCTTTAATCAAAATAATNCATACAAATGAGTAATCCTGTAAACGTAAACAGAATATTTTATATAGATTTTTTTTAATGAAAACTTAAAATCCTGCATTATTTTCCGGACAACCCAATATAATATAGTCGGTTCGTAGCTAAGTAAACTGAGAGAGTAGGTAAGCCAGATTTATGATTGTCCAATGTCCTTTTGTCAGATTGCCTTTATTGGAAGAGTAGGGGTGAGAATGGGGAAGGTCGAGAGCGGTGGAAGGCGTGGTTGGGTCGGGATTGGGCGCCGGAGGCCACGCCTTTCCGTCGGTGCAAGCCTCGGAAGAGGGGCGAAGAAGCGGGTCGGCCGGATTCAGAACAGTGCCGAACCTCGGGATGTCAGGACACGGTTACAGTTTCCCTCTGCCAGGCGGCCTCGAACCCCAATCGCCCGGCGAGCAGCACATCAAACGGCCGATGAACGCCTTCATGGTCTGGTCGAGGATCCAAAGGCGGAAAATCGCCTTGGACAACCCGAAGATGCACAATTCTGAAATTTCCAAAAGGCTCGGCGCCGAGTGGAAGCTGCTCACGGAATCGGAAAAACGGCCTTTCATCGACGAGGCGAAGAGGCTGAGGGCGATGCACATGAAGGAGCACCCGGACTACAAGTACAGGCCGCGGAGGAAGCCCAAGACGCCCGGGCAGCACCCGCAGATGATGAAGCCGGGCACGACGCCCGTCCCTTCGTCTGGCACCGGCTTCCACAGCTTCCCGTTGCCCCATTACTTCGCCGGGAACCACCCGCACCCTCTGGAGAGCCTGGGGGCCGCTTACCCGCCGCTCCCGCCCTACTTCGGTTCCGCCTTCGACGCGGTCAACTTCAGCAAGCTCGTCCAGAGCCAGAGCCCCGAGGGCGGCAAAACGGCCTCCGTCGTCAGTTCGTTCTACAGTTCGCTCTATCCTCAGGGGAAGTCGTTTCAGCCTCCTCCACCGCCCCTCAGCGCCCTCTTTCAACCGCCGCCGCCGCATTTCCTCTTCGGGGGCGGCCAGAGTCCCGGTTCCAGTCCGACGGAACACCCGCAGCAGTCGACGCCGGGATCGACACCGCCATCCCTCGACATCGAGAGCCTCAGGAGGCCCGTCTCTGTAATTTATTAAAGTGTATTTTTATACGAATTTATCTTTTCTTTTGTGTATTATGTATGTGATATGTGTTCATACCGAGGTAAGACTTTTTATTAATTTTCTTTTCGTATATTTACTTATAGCCCACACCGACTACCTTCTCCCTTTAAATTCTTGTTTATACACCTTAAAAGTATGGAGATTTAAAAACGGATAATTAAAAAATATATACCTATATATATTTATGGATATATTATAATATGTGATTAAACGATTTGGACTAATTATTTAGTGTTTTCCGTGCTTTGGATGTTGTTTCTAGTTGGTAGTTTGAAATTAAAAAAAGCTTAAGTAATATATACGTATTATCTCATACCAAAGTGTTATATTAAGCGTTAAAGCGAATTTATTCAATGTAATTATGAATTATTGTTATTAAACTACCCTGACTAAAGTGTTTAAAAATTTGATAAACCATTTTTAATTTATAAATATTGTTAATATTATATTGTAAAGTTATTGCTGTATATAATGTATTCGAATCTGAGAATCGCCTAAGTATTTATTACTGTAAATATTATCTAGTTTGTCATATCGTCTATGTATAATTTGTAAAATAAAACTTGTTCTGTTTCAAATTTAACTAGTCTCTTTTGCTTTTCAACCACCTTCACGAGTAGAAAACTTATAACAAATATATAACATACGACCATCTTCAATTCAATAATAAAATTAGCTTCTTTACATTCATATTGAATTGTGGATTATGCCAACAAACCCCATTAATTCCATTGGTTTCAAAAGAAACAAACCCCATTAAAGTAACAATGTTTACATTTAGTAAGTTCTCAATTTTGCAACAATCAAGTTATTAATTATATTATATAGCGTTTTTCAAACCAATCATAAATTTTTGTTTTAATTTAGTTTTAACACCTTAAAAATTAGGGATAAAATAATAATTTTCTGTGATTTAAAAACTTAAACAAGTTAAGATGTGAATATTAATTGTTATTGAAATTTAAAAAAAATGTACTTATTATTTACAATACTTTATTGTTATAAATAAAGATGAATTATGAAAACTCAAGGAATGTTATTTTATTTTTTATTGCACACTAGAATTATACAGATTAGTTTTATTGAAGACAAAATAAATACCACCTTGACATATCTTGAGACGTATAGAAAAAAAAGATTCGTGTTTTCGATGTGGAAGAAAATTAAAATATGTTAAAAAATTGTCAAGAAAAATATCAGAAAGAAAAAATTTATGAGGTCAAGTACCCCACCGTGCGAAGATGTGAAACGGGACTTTGCCCCTCGTCGTTTTTGTCAGCGGCCGCGGTGGCACGAAGCTTTTGGCCGATTGCTTTTTCTGACCTTCGCCCACCACCTGCACTTTCGACCTTGGACATCAAGTCCTCCCTTGGTACGGGGGTTCGTCGAGTTTGCATGGGGTGCTTAGTGTACCGACAGACAATCCAGCGTTTAAACCTGCCTTTCACGGCAAAAAGTAGAGAAGTTTTTTGTTCGGATTGTCACATGTAACGAAAAATTAATTCAGTAGCACCGAGAGGTCATACCATTGGCTGTCATCGAATGACCCTGTTCAGTTTATCAACAAAATGCTTTGCGTTTAGTGGAGTGGTTTTTTAAACTTTTTGAATCAATTTTAAGCAGTGCCGACACTTATTGTTTTATCACAGAACGCAGTGCACATTTTACGAAATGTACTTTCGTACCGACCTTAAATTCATACAATAATCATACACAAATGATCGGTTTTGAAGCCATGGGAAAGAAAATATTTGATTATTTACAGTGAACTGTTCATGCCACTTTTTCTGTATATACTAGTGTGTTCTTTATTGTGTGATGTAAACAAATAATTTCCCCTTTGTAAATAGAAAAAATAGTTAACGGAATTAAAACAATGGCAAACGAAAACCGCACAAACTTTTATGGTTTCCTGGTAGTTTGTTAACATTTCCCTGAATGTTAAACTACATTCCATGAAAATATTATTTTCAGGGAGGGTGAGGCGTTATCTGTTGAAATATTGACTTGCATAACTTTCGATAACGGTGAGATTTGATATCGTAAAGTTTTAAAGGGCGGCAAAGTGTTCAAATCACATAATTATTTTTTCAAAAGTCCGTATCTACTTTATAAACAGTTTTTTTCCTATTTCTTATCTGAATATTGTTTATTTTTATTCTTTTCTAAACTCCCCTTTGGAATAACAACGACTGTAAAAGTGTTTCCGCTGTTGGGTTCAGTTTTTCCGCTCACAAACTCTTATTTCTAAGTTGAAGTAACATTTGCCACAAAAAATAATAATAATAATAATAAAAAAATAATTGAAACATTAATGAATAATTGAATAAGTTTAACCTAACTTTTTTCCTCAATCGAACTTTAACGTAAAACATTTTTCTTTTTGTGTTTGATACTTAACTTTTTGACTTGATTGTCTGTAAGTTCGTTAAAATTAACCAATGCTAGTAAAATTGTTATTATTGAAGGCCAACGGAAATTTACGCCCAATTGTTTAAAAACAATGCATCATTTTCAAATAATGCACTATATTTTTTTTTCAAATTGTATTAAAAGTATTACAGTAAAGTATTACTTTAATCTTAAGATTGTTTACATTTTTTGAATGTACGTAAGTGTTAGAATTTTGCCCAATTTGAGACGCGTTTGGGCACTTCTCCGTCTTCGGTGGGTCTTACTATGACAGACCGAAACAGCGAGGAACGACGGATCAAGATGATCGGAAACGGCAAATTGCATGACTGCCATCCAACAGAAAGTAAGAAAAAATCTCCCATTTTTAAAAATCTTCCTACCTACTCTAGTCTACAGACGGAGACAACAAAAAATACACATAAATAGTATTTATTTATTTTATTACAAATATCGATTTATGGATGCTGCCCACTCCTTTTCATCAGTTGTTTTGACTTAAAACTTAAAAAAAAGTGTTAACCATTAATAAATATAACTTATATGCCAAGTTGCATGGTACACGAAAGGTTATAATGTACCTATTTATGTTTAGTAGTCTAATTGACCATTTTAATTATAAGTTATAATTAAGTTATAACTGAAGTTATAATTTACGAATGCTATACCACATAGAGTCATAGAATATGCTATTTTAACTGTTCGTTCTTTTGACGTTATGGATCCCAGGTTTTATTTTTGCTATTATTTAACTATAATTAAATTAGCATGAAATGAAATAATTACTTGAATGGTTATTTTTATCATTTTTCTTTCCCTTTGTGACCTTCTAATAATTTGTTTAAAATTTGTTTCAATTTTTTGTACTGCTTAAAACTGTTCTATTGTTTCTTTTTAAAACTGTTTCTAATCACTGACAAATCAAGCAAACATTTTATTCCCATCTTTCCAAAGCATCTTCCATTTCTGAAGAACAGTTCTTCATATTCGACTGGTCGTCAGACACCTCTTCTCGCCTCAACAAAACATTATTATCAACAATTATCGATTGCAAGTTTGAACATTATTTTTTCATCATTATGTTTAACATGCTATGCATTTTGCAATTTACTTTCTACCTCTATGCTGAATAACATCAATATTAGTTGGATTCTTCATCAGTGTGCAAATTGGTAATTTGGAATGAAATGTTTTGTCCGACATTCACCGAAATTACACACCAAATATGACCTAACGTTAATCTTCCGAATTGAAAAAATCCAAATCTATTTTTTTAGATATAACGTAAAATATTTTATTCGATACTTATATATTATATTATATACTTATTATATTCTAAGCAAGAATTTTTCTTCTTCCGCACACTTCCAGTTTGTCGATCTGTTGATTAGATTTGTAAGTGTTTGTGTCTAAGTAGTTCTCATCCTCATATAAGGATATGTTCAATTCTCTGTAATAACATTCAATTAATTAAGGTTTTTAGTTTAGATAAAAAAGTCAGTGTCACGAGCGGGATTCGAACCCACGACCTTCGGCTTGATATGCCGCTACTCTACCACTTGAGCTATCGTGACTTCGATCCACTCAGGCACTAACTTCCCAACTCAACTCCACTTTTTGAATTTTCCCTACTTTTTGCTTTTTTTGTGTGCATTTCTTGATTTACACCAAACGATTAAAATTCGACTTAGTAAACAAATTGTTAAAAGAATTTATAATAAATTATTAATCGTTTTACGCAATAAAAAATGATTACTTTATATCAGGGATTGGCAAAGGAATTTAGAAAAGGTCTAAATTGTAAACCAAATCTGGCCATTTGAAAACTTGAATAGGTATGTTTTTTTAATAGGAACTCACGTAATTGGGCTTTTACATACTCCAACTGAGAAACAATCTTTTAACATCCCCCAAAAATATTTGTAAATTCAACACTATTCTCATCTTTCAATTAATTAAGGTTTTTAGTTGAGATAAAAAAGTCAGTGTCACGAGCGGGATTCGAATTGAGTGGATCGAGGTCAGATAGCTCAAGTGGTAGAGCAGCTTATCTAGCCGAAGATCGTGGGTTCGAATCCCGCTCGTGACACTGACTTTTTTATCTCAACTAAAAACCTTAATTAATTGAATGTATTAATTGGTCAAGCGGATCACGAAACTGTGAATTCTCTGTAATAACAATTATTTTGAATACGATTTAAAAGTATTTGGATGAGTGTATTGTCCAAAATTCATAGAAGGTGTAACTAATAGAAAGAATAACCAACGGTAAAATCTTCATGATAGGATATGACCTAATATGTCTTTCTCATATACAACGAATTAAATATTTCATGAAATATTGATTAAGAATGTAATATGATCTCATTTTTTCTCACTTCCTATATATCGATGTTCATATAGTAGGATCTGTAGATTGTAAATTTTTATTTTATTTCCATTTGTTCCAATTAAATGTTTGTATCTACGTATTTTTCATTTTCATATAAGGGTACAAATTTTGTTTATAATGCATACGCTTAATTATATTCTGTCTCGTGATATAGTGACTATATCAGTGCAAATTTTTTTATTTTTATTTTTTTATTTTTTATTTTATTTTACGAGGGTTCGCAACAGCAGAGGTTATATCAACCCTCGGGGTGCCGGTGTTTTTGAAAAAAAGCCCATTTGTAAGTATGTCGGGTTCGAATGCAGGGCCGCTGGATTCGAACCCAGGACCTTTACCTTATAGTGATGAGCGCCGTGTCAACGCCTAAACCGTTGCGGCCACCGACGCCCCCAAGTACTATTTCTTTTACATATTATTATTATGTTTTACTGTTTTAAAGATTAAAGTGCAAATTTAAAAAAATATTTGGATCAGGGGTTTTGTCTTACTTTTTACGAAGTAAGGAAGGATGACAAACGCTTCACGATTGTCCATTAGATTCACTAATTTCGTGGTCCGCTTGACCAATTAGTACATTACAATTAATTAAGGTTTTTAGTTGAGATGAAAAAAAAGTTAATGGCACGAGCGGGATTCGAACCCACGATCTTCGGCTAGATACGCCGCTGCTCTACCACTTGAGCTATCGTGACCTCGATCCACTTCCTATCTCATCACCACCTTATGAGTTTTCCTTCATTTTTGCCATTTTTCATCTCAACTAAAAACCTTAATTAATTGTATTGTCCATTAGTTTTTGGGTCTTTTGTTAAGGTTCTTGAGGATAATCGCATTGTTAATGTATTTTTTTTATTATTGATTATTACATCGATTGTATACTAAGGCGTCCCAAAAGGGCGAGATACAATAAATATCTCTGTCCACATCTATTCAAATAACAATGTCCATTCTTTCCGGCCTTTGCTTTTGGTTGTTCAAGAGAAAGTACGTCAAAATAAAGCATTCTGAATACAATATTGTGGACGGACGTG